AGAAGAATGATTGCAGCGCAATTAACCACAGGCCTTCAGAAATCGGCAATGGTTGCTTCGGCCGCGCACGAAAAAGGGACTTTGATTAGTTGTTGGTATGCAGGAACAGGCTGGTGCGGGCCTCTGTCAGGTTAGCTGCCTTTCAAAATGGAAGACTACATCAGCCGACTGCTGCATAATAAATTGCTTAGCGCGTCAGAATTCTTATTTAACGTGAAGGAGCTGAACGGCGGGGTCACAAGTCAAAACCTCTTATCTAGCTAGTACAGTTAGGCAAAACCTATTTAAAGGCTGTTTTAGGGATCCATCCGTATTGCAATATCTGAGCGCACCTACTCTACCTAAATTGCATTCATTATCGCCTCCAAAAAAATAGGTAAGTATTTGCAGACCGTGATAAGCTCATCGACAGTCCGTGTTTCATTTTTTCGTCAATGAGTGTGTGTTCGTTATTTTTTTTCACTCAATCTTTATGAATAGACTCTTTGTTTTATCCACCCTCCCGGTACCGAGCGTGCTGTCGGTCTGTAGAAAACAGCTATATTTACTGAACTATTTTCTGTGCCAAACAGTTGCGCATTGACTCTTTACCTGAGGTCTTGATTTTTATTTCCACGACTGTGCCCAATTCACCAGCCTCCTCTCCTATTCCTATCAGGACATCGTAGGCAGAATCAGTCGAAAGCGTATCCGCGAAGCCCGACTCAAAGAAATCAAACTGGAACTTATAAATTCTGAACGTTTAAAGGGCTACTTTGCCGACCACGCCGCAGACTACGATGCTCTGCGACACGACAAACCCCTGTCCACAGCTGCCCAACCTCACCTTAAAGATGTTCCTGGGTATATGGGTATGCCTCTTCTACTAATTATTTATACTCCTTCTGTTAACTTGCATTATGCTGGGGAAAACCCCTTCTTCGCGGTTTCTTCTCTACAGCCTTGACCCAGGGTCGATGTCGAGGACGTGTGGCCTTGAAAACTGTTTTGTCTTCAGAGTAACCTTTTCGGTCTGG